AGTGAAGTGTATTTTAATTCTCGTTACAGTACAATTTCTTTTCTCTTTTCAGACGTTTCAACAGGAGAGGAGAGTTGTAAAACTGATGATCCTTCAGAAAATAAACGTAGAAGGCTTGCAGGTATTATAATTATCAAGTGAAGATATTCCATGTTAAGATTACGTTTTGATAACTTATAGTTACTTATGTCCGAACGCAGAGTCCGAAGGTTTAGGATCTATTCCTGGTGATGACTCAATTTTTTTTCTGTCCCACGCTCGCGGAAGGACGATAAAAGATATTTCCTTGTTCTTTTATCATAATAGTTTATTCTCGTCCTGTTTTACTTCAGCTGCTTAAATTCCGAAAATTAATGATCGATGATAAAAAATAAAGGAGGGTATTGTTTTGGAGCTTCTTCCCTCGCACTTAACTTGGACTTTGCGCTCGTCCCGCCCTTGCCTCCATTTGACTGAAAAGCGCTAAAAAACTGCGTCTGTTGGCGTCGCACGCTTACTCATCCCAGCAATGAAAGTTCATGTTTCTTTTCTCTATTTTTTCAGAACAGTTGAATGTTGAGAAGTGCCAAAAGAAGCTTAAGTCCTATTATGACACCTCCAGTGAGGTGAAAATCGTTCCATGGGACGACAGCTCTTCTGTTCCGATAGATGAGGTATACACTCCGTTGAATTGGGTGAGAGATCACAGGAAGCCTGGCGGAGTGACACAAAAGGAACTTCGAGACTACACCGACATGTTCAAGGGAGAACATAAACGAATGCTTGTTTACGGGCGACCAGGAATTGGCAAGAGTACGTTTTGTAAAAAGGCTGCATATGACTGGTCGAAAGCCTTAAAAGAAATCCTAAACAACTTTTCCATTTTGCTTTTGATTAAGTTGAGAGATGTATGTGACGTGGGAAACATCCGTGATGTTTTACGTGCGTCTAAATTGCTGGCCAGTGATGGTCCGATCTCAGTTGATAGTCTCTATGATTACATAACTAACAATCAAGATAAAGTGCTTCTTATTTTGGATGGCTACGATGAGTACAGCTGTGCAAAAGAACACTCACCCATCCTTGAAATTTGGAAGGGCGAGCAACTAAGAGATTGTCACGTTATTGTCACCACGCGACAACTTAAATGTGAC